TGTGTGTGTGTGTATATATATATATATATATATATATATATATATATATATATCTGTGTGTGTGTGGTGCATTGCTATGCATATATATATATATATATATAGAGAGAGAGAGAGAGTGAGAGAGAGAGAGAGAGAGCTAATCAACCAACAAAGGTCCATATACTTCATCTTTCAGTTAAAAATGAAAGCAAAACAAAAGAACTATATATATAAAATATATTAATATTATCTGATTCACTAGGAGGAAAACTTTTAGATATTTTCTCTTTCTCTCCTTCTTTCTAGCTAGCAATTTTTGACAACTTGGAAGGCTGCTTCGAAGCGTGTGCAAGGAGGTTTTGGTGATGATCAAGGTGCTGACTGTCAGGATGAAGAAGATTTTTATCTGCCAGCAGGACATTATTCGCCAGGTCAAGACACAGGATCAACTTACAGGAACATTTGAAAACTTATAAAAAATGATCATATACATCTATTTGATACCCAGATCACTTGCTAAGGGTCATCATGGCTCCAAAAATGTATAATCTTGCTGAGAAATGGAAAACACTTTCATTCTAATTACAGAAACAATGATGACCAAGAAGCAGTATTATAAAGTAGCTTAGATTTTGAATTTGAGAAAGAGAAGGAAAAATGATAATGGGGTCAATTTTATTTTTTCAAAATGAAGATATGTAAGTAATTTTTTCTGTATCAAATAGGGAGCAGAAATAAATTTTAATTTACTTAGATAGATCCATTTATAAGTGCTAAAAGGTGAAAAACAATTAAATCTAGACCCTTAACTTTAACATATTTAAATAAAATTATATTCCTGACAATTATCACATAAAACACAAGCTAAAATGCATAACAAAATGAAGGATGAAAGAAGAAATTTGTTATTCCAAACTGACTGATATTCAACCTTAAAGAAAATATATTTTACATTTTCAAAAGCTCAGGCAGTAAAAGGATGACTAGAATTGTTTAAAAACTCGCATATATACCTCTTAATGATGATAATGAACTTGTAGGAGCATGATTCCTGCAAGAAAGCCACTTTTTATTCTCTCCAAGTTGCGTTGCACAATCAGAAGAAATGATCTAATCCACCTTGCCAATTTCTGAGAGCCACATGACGTGCAAATGCATCCATTGCCTAAACAGTCCATGACCTCCAAAGTTGATTTGGATCATTCTGCTGACGAAAACTTCACATTCTGCACCTAGCGTGAATACATTGGAAAATCTGCCTTCTTCGCTACAAAAGCCTCCTCTCTATCGCTCACTTACTCTCTAAAATTCTCCCTCTCTCTCTTTTCTCTGTTTTTCACATAATCATTATCATTTTTTTTTTTATTATTGTTTCTTTTACTTTTATGGTGTCATTTTTACAAACACTATTCCACCATTCTTTTCTCACTCTATCTTATTACAAAATTTCCAAAAGAAAAATATAATTACAAACCATATTAACAGATAATTTTTATTATAATTTTTGTAATGTTTTGGATCAGTAAGAACTCAGCATTTGGATATTTTACTTCTTGTAAATTTAAAAAGTGAGTAAACCCTACTATGTTGACAACTGTTAACCAGTCTAAAAATACATTTGCTCATATATAGCCATCAAGCAAATTTTATTTTAAAGTTTTCCCTCAAAATTTTTAACTTGAGAAAATTATTTTGTTTGCAATTGTCCATAAAATTTTTTTTGAAAGACTAATACAATATACTTATATTTCAAAGAATAAATTTAGAGTTCTAGTTTTTCATTTAGATTTTTTTATCTGAAATAACAAAATGATTTCCTACTTTATTGCTAAATCCTAATATACGAAATTAGATAATTTTTCAAAACATAAGGAAAAAAATTCCAATTATAGTTTTATCTTCAATTTAAAACTTTAGTAAAATTCTGTAAAATGACAGAGTGAACTTTGTTATTCTTTGTTTTTGATAAAACTTGGCCTGTTCACAAAATATTGTTCAGTTTTTTCAATAATTCATGACCAACTCACAGCAAGAGAAAATTTTCTGCACTTGCCACTGCCGCTATTGCTGCTGTTGTTGTTCAAAAAGAGAAAAGAGGGAAGAGAGAAAGAAAGAGAAATTATTTTTTGAAACCTTGGAAACATTTTTTGAATGTTAGATCATGCTGGGATGTGTTTGATGAAAATTGTTTTGTCTTTAGGGGTTTCTGTTTGCAGCAAATATATTAAGGTTCTGACAGTGAAGAGAAGGATAAAAAAACAATCAAATGGATTGTTATGAGCAGTTAAAGTCATTTAAAACCATTTTGTAAACAAATTCAACTTTTCTAAATTAAATGAAAACATTTTTAAATTCAAATAACAGAAAATGCTTATAAAAGTACCCTTGCTCTGTATTTAAGCCAAACAATTCATTTTGAAACTGGATGGAACAGATTCAGTTCTTTGTGTAAAAAGAGTCTTTGAAAGTAGTTTAAACATTATAGACCTAATAAAGGAATTTTCCTTGTATACTGCTTATGCAAACTGGAGTCTTTTTTAAGTAAATCAAGGAAAGAAAAAATATATAATAAGCACTGAACTATTTCAACCTTCAATATTTAAAATGTAAAAATAATCTTCCAAAAATCAAAGCAATTATCTTCTTTATATGAAGGAGTTTATATATAGCATAAAGGACGTGCATTATTCCTTTTAAAATGTGCTATCTATTTCCTAAGGAAACTGCATCAATATTATTATGATAAGCTCATAAACACCAAATTGTGATTTTTCTCATGTATATGTATAAACAACACAAAAATGTGTATATTTAAAATCCACTGACATTCATAAAGATTCCGTCTTAATTGGTGTTTTGAGGCTATTGTTTTATTGATTTGCTAACCATCATATATTAGTGTTTATTATTATTATTAATAACAGTACTGCAAATATGAAAACTTTCAAAAATGATACTATTAATGATAATATTAAAATTATCTCTATCAATTAAACAATACCCCTATTAATAAATATATCAAAGTTAATCCTTACCCAACCATCAGAATCCTCAAGTGGAAAATAACTGTGATATTCACTTCAGGCCTTATAAAAAAAAAACAAAAAAAAACAACTTATTAGCACTACAGAAATGAGGAAAAATTTTCTGTGAGTAATAATATGTTAACACCTATAAATGAGGATATAATGATGCTCAATGAATTGAATGCACAAAAATGCCAAAATAGAAGCCTAAAATCTTTTTGAATCATTTCTTTTTTACACTTACATACATGATTAGATATGTGTTTATATATATATATATATATATATAACCAGGGTTACTTTAGCATGCAGGCACTATTGTTTTTGTTTTTCACTTTTAATTTTATTTACTTAAATAAAAAATTACTTAAGGTTAATTCCAGATCAAAAGGAAATCCAAAGAAACTTCACTTTAGTCCTAAAACAACAAAAACAGACTGTGCAAAATTATACAAAAACTTAACATTTTAATTTGTTCTTCAGTATTAATACTGAAAAATGATTCAATATCAATGGATATTCTTGATACTGAAAAAGGCTAAAATATATATTTCTTGCCTATAATTATAAACAATGAAAAACAAAAAAGGTTGTTTCAATGTTTAATAAAGATTTTGTATATCTAATTGAAAAATGTTTTAATATTTCTCATGTCAGCAAACATATTTAAACTGCAAAACTGCATTTCTTATCCTTTCATCATTAAAAAGCAATGAACAGCTTGATATTTGATTAAGTTCTTAAAAAGCTATTTTTTAAATTTAACCCCTGTTATAAAAGAAAAAAATAAAATATTTAAACTGAGCTCATGTATATTTCACTTTTATTCACTTCTAAAACAACAAACATTTTGATGCTTTGACAATTTTCTAGTTAAATCAGTTGATTTAGATATCAGAGGTTATTTTTATTTCTTAAAACAAAGTTGAAAATATATTTCTAGCTCTTTCTTTGTAATAAAACAATGACTAAACATCTTAATGTTTGGTTAAGTTTTTGAATGTCTGTTTTGAAAAGTACCCAAATGATATTCTTGGGATCAGTGGATTCTTAAAACTGAAAAATTAGCAAATATATATTTTTGTGCTTTCTTGGTTACAAATAAATTAACAGCTTTTGTGTATCCAATTTAATTTATTCTGCTCAAGTCTATCCACCAAGCAGACTAGTCAGATAATGTACCATAGTGTCTTCTCCCCTATTCACATAATTTCATTCTTTCTAGTTTGTTCAGGTAATTTCTCTTCTGTGAGCCAAAATTTTCATTATTTGTAATAAAGATAATGTATTTAGCTACTTTAGAACTTACCACTTCAATTCTATATCTCAAAGTTTCTAATGATGACATTTCATTTTAATCACATATCTGTGTCTATAAACTTTAATTCTCTAAAAAGATTATGTTAACTAAATTTCAAAACCAGTTAAACTCATTACAACTTAAAAATTATTTAAGAATTACATGTCAAAAATTGTAAAAAAAAAGAAATAATGAGAGAAATATTAAACTTTTATCTGATTGCATTTTAAGAACTATTTTCTTTTAAAGGATTTTTTTTACAACATATGATAAGTAAACTGAAGGCAGAACTAAAACAAATATATATATATATATATATATATATATATTTATTTAAGGGCATATATTTATAAACTATCTTTTCCAAATTTCATATATATAATATTTCTGTTTAATCTTACTTTAGATTTATTTGGGGAATACATAGTCTGTATATAATTGAAGTCTTCTCACTTAAATAAAATAAGTCATAAATCAATAATAACTAAATGTTAAAAATCTTAATTGATTAGTAATATAACTAAAAATAAGATAGGATATCATTAATGATTAATCAACAGAGATTTAGTTAATCATTAATGGTATCCAAATTTAACAAATAGTATCTTATTTTTTTCTCAAATTTAAGAAAATACAAACCACAATTTCCATCTATTGCTTCCTGAAATATATTTAAATTTGGTTTTCCAAGTCTGATGAGGTTTGGAAAACCCACTTTGGAGGTGGAAATTTTTCATCCTGAGAAAAGGGACTTCTCATAAATAATTGTTTTTACATGTTTTATACTTAAAATTAAGAACATTATTTCTTTTTGCCTACTCTCCCTATCTATCTATCTATCTATCTATCTATCTATCTATCTATCTATCTATCTATCTATCTATCTATCTATCTATCTACTTAATTTTGCTTGATAGTAATACATATTTCAAATTTTCATTTCAATCATTTTTTTTTTATTTTTAGTTAGCCTTTCATGAAAAATTCAACAGCCAATGCTTTTAACCTTCCATTCCAGGACTGTATACATGTGTGCAGTTACCACATACTTGTTAACTCAGTTTTTGATTTACAGATACTGGTGGTATAATTAAGATCCCTCAGGAAACAAGAAAAGGAAAACCAAAAAAAACAAAAATTCACATTCACACACTTATTTTACACTATGAAAAATTCACTGTACTTTGAAGAGTTTTCCCCAGTTAATTTTTATAATTGTTTCTCTGGATTCTGTTTGCCCCAGTTATATAGTTTAAGTATAATTCTGAATTGGATACTTATCACATATAGACCACATCAAGTAATATGGTCTTGTTGTGCTATTTCAATTTTTACATTTGTAAAAAGTTTATCCTGAAATTTGAATCAGGAAAAACTAAAAAAAAAACCTTCCCCTTCTTATGTTTCAATCATATTGACATCCCCAAAATTAAATATTTTTTGAGAGATCATTCAGTATCTGAAATGTAGAGATTCGTCATTTCTTGCATGTTTTCATTTGGTTATGTTCCATTTTTTCCTTATTTAACACAAATTGACTGAATGGTTCTGTCAAAGACCTGTGTACCAAGTGTGTGGTAACAACACATGTATGCATTACCTGGAATGGAAGGGTGCACATGTCTTGGGAGACTATTCAGATAGGTTAGTAGTAGTATTCTCCAAATTTTTCTTTACTTTTCAGTTATTGCTTGATCTCTACTTTGGTTGAAACACAATGTAAGGAAGGAATAAAGAGCATAGTCACAATAGATTTTAAAAGAAATCATGGTTGGCTCTTTCTATTAGATATAATTATTAATTTTTAAGTAAACTGCTTCATATTTTTAGATATCCTCTTAGAAAATCTCTAAGGTGTCTTTATGATGGCACTTAAGATCAGAAGAAAAATGTCTTAGATGAATCCCAAACTGAAAACAAAGCCAGCATACCTCACCAATTCTTTCAGTGGGTTATTTCTCTTCTGATCTTTCCAAATTTATTTATTCATTTTTTTAACATTTTTTTCTTTTCTAACAAAAATTTTATTGAAAAAATTATTACTTCTTTCTATTATTAGTTTCATTTTTTATACAATGATTGCTGTCACTCCTGCCACTTTTAAAATTTAGGAATAACATTTAGCAAAATTATTCAGAAAAATTTCAAAGAAATTAAATATTTTTTTTCAAACAAAAAGTAAAATGTTTATTTAAGAAAATGTATGTTCATTTAAGTGAAAGGTAAAATTTTAAAAGAATTAAAAGAATTTGTTATTTAAATCTAAAAGAAATAAAAATTTTTCTTTTAGATTTAAATAACAAAATAGAATTTTTAGAGCAAAATTCTATGGGTACTCAGTTAATTAAAATCACTTCTAATTGGAAGAGCTGTAAGAAAATTTATTTAAATTAGTCTTCATATTTCAATTTGATAATTAATTAATTATTTCTTTCTTATTAAAAATGGTTCCAGAAATAAAAAAAATTAAAGAGCATTGTAAACTTATTACTGGAAATAAAAAAAATAATTTTCTGTTATTATTCTGGCAATGATCTTTTATTATAAAATATTTGTGATAACAGCATAAGCACATGATGATACCAGTGTACAAATCAAGATCAAATAAAAATAGTCAGATATTTATAGAAAAGTCCTCAAATATTCAATGTTGAAAGACACAAGGATTATAGCTAATTTGAAGTAATTCTGCTTGAATTAACCATTGGATTCAGCTTATTTGTAATACAAAAAAAGAAAATTAAAAAACAAAACATTACAGACTGTATAACAGTACCTGATGCTTTCATTTTAATGAAAGAAGAAAATAATTTATTTTTTAATTTGATATTAGTGAAGAAAAGAAAAAATAATACCAAAGAGAAAGTGTTTTCAAACTTTTTTGTGAATGTAACTTTGTGTTTTTTCAATGATTATTTTAGACAAATTAATAATTTCTTTTTCAAATACGGAAATTTGAAAGAAATTTCAGTAAATTAGCCAGATATATAATTTATATGAAACTGATTATTTTCTTTAATTTTTTTCTTACAGAATAAAATAATTTATTCAAAGAAATGTGTCTATTCTAGTTGTCTTTTACTCATGAATTTTGTGATTTAGTTTTAATCACATTTTGAATGTATACTGATATTTGTGGGAATGATTTTCTTTCAATTGGTACTGACTTATAATCAGTCTTTCTTTTCTCTCATCTTGATTTCTAATTTAGTCATTTAAGTACTACTTATCAGTTGCTGTCAAATTGTTGGAGATAATTTACTACTGACTGCTTAATAATTTAACCCATGTTCTTGTTATATGTAACCATAAAATCAAAAAACCGAAAATAACCCAAAGAAAAAGAAATTGTGATTTCTTTAATTAACAAGATGCTAATTTTTATGATAAGGAAATGGAGCATATTTTCATTTTAGAATTTCACTTTTGGATTATAAGCTTTCCATTTTCATTCTATGATTTTGAATTGCATGTCAGGCACCAATGTTTTACAAGCATTTGCAATGATGTCATTGAAAATTGTAAATTCAAAATGAAAAATGGATAGAATCAAAACTTAAACTTAAGGAATGAGAAACATATGCTAGGCCACAAAAATCTCCTGAGCCGACCAAGCATAGAAATGAATACAATATGGGAACCAGTAATAAGGAGTGCCAGAGAAAAGTGATAATAACAACAAAATTTGCAATATGAGCTCTGGTAAAAACATAAATGATAACAGCAAAAATTGCAATATGAGCACTGGCAAAAAATGGTTGCTGAAGACATTAGGTTTATAATACCCAGAAATTCACATACAAATGTCCTCAAGGACACATGGCATAATGGATAAAGGTGTTAGATTTAGTGACAGGACCCAAAGAGTGTGAGTTCAATGCTCAGACTTATGTGATAAAAGTAATTCTTGTATCTGATACTGTATTCATATTCTCAAAATATGAGTTACTAAATCAAAGAATTCTTTTTCTTTAATTTTAAATACTACTAAACATATTATAAAATAGATGGTGAAAGTGTTCAAATATAAAAAACTCAGTCATGCACAGCTTCCCTTTATGGTTGCAGTATGTATGTATTTTATCAAGAGTGACTACCACATTGCCAAGATTGTGGCCACATAATTCTCTGTTGTTATAATATTCTTTAAAATCTTAGTTTAAAATGTACTGTACAGTAACAATTTTCAAGCTGGTCATTATTAATACTGATAATTTCTTCTTAATATTATCTATAAAAATGAATTTGTGTAAGCATTTGTTGATTAAAACTGAACTTTCATTATTCAATTCCTTAAATTTTAAATAAACCTATTGATAAATTTATGCTGCTTTACCTTTTTATTCTGAATCAAAATATTTTGTTGATTAGTAAATTTTATTTTATCTTATCACAATAATGTTTTTTTTTATAAATCTGTTTCTTTTTTTGTTTTAAGTTAAAGATTTTATAATTTTCCTTAGATTTTAATATTCTTAATATGATTAATCTATTTTCAAATTCAGGCTATTATATTTAACAGATAAAAGTTTTTTTATTTTCTCTATTTCCAATCATAAAAACATGAAATAACATTTGAGAGTGACAGACTGGTTATAAGGCAAAGAATGTGAATTTTTAAAAAGTCTTTTTACTTGCAGATTTGATATAACAAAAAACTCTTTCAGACTATTTTCAAATTTAAATATCCATGAGCATCTATTTCTGGGTGTTATATTAATATAATTAATAATTAATAGAAACCATGATTAATACTGTACCAATTTGTGAAGCTTTAAAATAAATTTCATGACAAGGTTGAACGGATTTTAAAATTTTCATTGCTGTCTATAGGGCACAATATTGTCATAAAAATCAATGCTTGAATCTCTCATGATCTATGAATCAACTGTAGGTTTCCATTCTTACTCAGAGCATAAAAGAAAACATCATATTACCTTGAAATCAAATTTCTTTAATTTGTTTTTTATCTATAGTTTGCCATAAATTTCAAGTCTCAAACTAGAATAATAATATAATAATAAATTTATAATAAATTTAGTTTTCTTGTATAATAACGTGTTTTCTTGGTCCAACACCCTTTAAATTTTGGGGCTGACACACGCAAAAAATATACTGATAGCTTATACCAGGATAAGTCCCTCAATCCTGGCCAAACTGGGATATATGATAATACTGTCTCTAGTTATATTCAGCTACTTAAATGTGAATAGATTGCTCTTGTCCTCCACACACATATGTGTGTGTGCATAGAAATTATAAAAAGGAGAGAGATCTATTATTGTAATTTTTATTGATCTGAAAAAAAAACTTTTATTTTTAAAATTAACTGCCACAATTCCCTGACAAGCTGATCAAACTTATTTTGTTATAATCTTTTTAGTTTATTGCACAAATACTTTGATTTTTAAAGATAAAATTAAAAAAAAAACCTGATTTATCATTTATTTCATTTTAATACAAAATAATTAAAAGTACTTGTAATGACAAAAGTATGCAGGTGTAAGCTTTAAGAAAGCTTTATTCTACTGAGAATACAAGGTTCATGGATAGTGTCCTTTTATAGTCCCAGTAAACAGAAATATCTCTCTCAAAGAGGAGAGTAACAAAACAAGGGGAGGCATTATTCATAACACTACTCATTTTGTTTTCAGTTAAAATCAAGTTGCAGCTGAAAACTATGATTCTAAAATATTGAAGTCATACAATTGCTGCATGCATAAAATGCAGCAGCAGATAGATTAAAACATTTTTCATGTATGCTAAGCCTAATGCAATGATTTTTTCCCTAAAAATTGTCTTATAGTTCTTATCTAAATAAAAACTGTAATGGAACTGTTTGAAAGGAATTTTTCTTAATATTCAGTAAGTTTTATGAATATCCTGGACTTCTTGTTTGTTTGCTTTTTGTTTCTT